TAAGCGTGGGATGGTCTACAGCAGGGGCCGTGGCATGCCAGCAACCAGTCCACACAAACAAGCCAAGCGAGATGCAGGCAGCACACAAAACCACGCGCTCTCCGGTCCGTGGAAAAACCTCTCTCCATGGAACTGGTCCCTGGTGCCCAAAAGGCTGGGGACCTCTGGTCTACAGTGATTAAGGCACCAGATTAGAAACCAGGAGACTGTAAGTTCTAGTCCCACCTAGACATGAAAACCTATTGGTTGACTTTGGGCCAGTCACTTTCTCTCAGCCCAGCTCACCTCACAGGTTTATTATTGTAGGGCAGACATGTCAATCTCACGATGTCACGTGACATCACACAATGTATCGGGGATGGTTTTGCCATTGCCGGCAATGGGGTGGGCAGGGCTTCCAGATGACACATCCGGCCCGCGGGCCGGCAGTTTGACACCCGTTGTAGGGTAAAAAAACCTCCATTAAGAATGCTTAGGGTGCTGTGCTGACCTAACCAACTGTGACGTATTCAATAAACTGGGGGACACCAGGCTTTTGAGGATGGAGTCTACCACTTTGTCTATGGAGATTCTCCATCATCCAAGTCATGGTTGTCCCAAAGGTGCTTTTTCACGAGGCAACTAGACTTTCTTTTTTCTCTTTGAAGACGTTTCGCTTCTCATCCCAGAAGCTTCTTCAGCTCTGACTGGATGGTGGGGAATGGAAGGATTTATACTCCTTGCAGATAGCCGGTCATTTGCATTCTTTTAGAGAGTCGTTGATGCCACCTGGAGGCTTTATCTGTGTTGTCAGGGTCACCTGAGTAGTACAAATGGGCGTGGAGCCTTCTTGGAACGGTTGACTGTGTCGTAAACTGAAGGTAGATGAGTCTACCACTTTGTTTCTCAGCTCGTGATAGTAAACTAATTTAGAGGAAGGGGCAGTTAAGGGACAAAACACTTCACTTAAAATTCAAATTTTTACTCTGAATCTTCCATTTCTCCAAAAAAAAAGACAAAAATAGCTGAAAGCACCACTCCAGGAGACTTCTGTCCTCACCAAAATAAAGCTAGTGAAGGAGATGCCCTTCTCCGGCAGTGAATTATGGTTTGCCACCATCCCTGAACCCTGCCAGTTTTTATACCAGCGCAGCTAAAAATTGACTTTCAACCCTGTCGCATAATAAAGAAAAATAGAAGTTAAATTGGGTAGTGTTGTCTTGCAGTTGGAAGGAAAGCATTCAGGAGCCAGAAACTTTGACAAGTTGGAAGAGCTCACTCCTGCCTATCACTTTAAATATTTTAAGGCCGATTAATTAACCTTGAAAGATAGATGGTGACAAAGGCGAAGTTTCTTGGAATAAAAGCATCAACTTGGCATGGGTATTTTAAGCTGACAGACCTGAGCATATGGTCTTTCCAGAACAGAGTTTCGTGCATATGTATCCGTTCACAGAAAGAGCATTAGGAAGAATGCAAGCATTTTACAAAGCCAGCATAACCGTATATATGTGGGAGAAATAAGCGGAAATGAACTTCACACATAAGGGGAAAAAATAAAAAAATGACACAGATTTATTTTCATCTCTCGGGCAGACTGCCTCATAGCAACCGTGAAAGGCTGGGAGATGTAAACTTGAGAAAACAAGAAATATTTTAGTGAAATCCTTGTGAATGTATGGCAAGAAGCTAGCTTGTGCTAGTTTTCACGGTGAAGGGGGGGGGGAGGCAGAGATAGAATCAGAATCTTAAGGCGGGTAACAAATGAAGCGTACAGTTAATCCCATTCTGTTGCCTCTAATTTTCTCTGCTGTCCTTTAATTAATCTGAAAAAGGCTCTCCTTTGCTTTCGAAAGGATAAAGGTTTCCCTGTCAGCCATGCCCACTCTAGGACACGATGCTCATCTCCATTTCACTTTACAATGCATTGGTAAGGCCACACTTGGAATACTGCATCCAGTTTTGATCACCACGATGTCAAAAAGATGCTGAGACTCTAGAAAGAGTGCAGAGAAGAGCAACAAAGATGATTAGGGGACTGGAGGCTAAAACATATAAGGAACGGTTGCTGGAATTAGATATGTCTAGTCTAATGAAGAGAAGATGAAAGGTGACATGATAGCACCCTTCCAATATCTCAGGGGTTGCCCCAAAGAAGAGGGAGTCAAGCTATTCTCCAAAGCGCCTGAAGGCAGGACAAGAAGCAATGGATGGAAACTAATCAAGGAGAGAAACAACCTGGAACTAAGGAGAAACTTCCTGACAGTTAGAATAAATAACCAGTGGAACAACCTGCCGCCAGAAGCAGTGAATGCTCCAACACTGGAAGTTTTTAAGAAGAGACTGGACAGCCATTTGTCTGAAATGGTATAGGGTTTCCTGCCTGAGTGGGGGGGTTGGACTAGATGACCTCTAAGATCCCTTCCAACTTTATTATTATTTTACTAAGGGAGCCAGAGTTATCCAAAGAGTTTCTGTGATCATGTGGCCAGTTTGGCTATATGCCAAAGGCGCACAGAATGCTGTTGCCTTCCCACCAAAGTGGTACCTATTAATCTACTCGCATTTGCATGCTTTCAAACTGCTATGTTGGGCAGAAGCTGGAGCAAGGAACAGGAGCTCACCCCCGGCGTGCGAAGTTCGGGTCTCAAACCCAAGCTGTCAGCTCTCCAGTTGACAAAGCTCAGCGTCTTTAACCACTGAGCCGTCGCGCCCCCTTTGCATTCTCCCATTATATAAATGGATGAAATAAAGAAGATGGATCTCAATTACAAACTGTTCCTTGGTGAGAATAAGATACTGTTAAGTCTAAAGCTATTCTTGGTTTTTGCGGATTGATATAGCTGGGCATTCAGAGTTCAGAAAAAAGACACGCCACCAGCTGATTACTGAAAACATTTCTGTAATTGCCTCCTGTTCAGCTGTTGTCTTTCAGCAGTGAAAAGATCAAGGGAAAAAAAAAAAGCAATGACTTTCTTCTTGCCTTTGCAGAGTTACAAAAAAAAAAGGCAAGTAAACAGCATTAAGCACTTTTTTGGGGAAGTTTATTGCCCCCCTTTTCCTATGAACTGCGGTTAAATTGGAAAGTCTCTGAAAACAGCTTCGGACCAAAGTTTATTAGCTTCATAGGAAACTAGAAGGAGAATCCCCTGTGAAAGGATCCTATCTGCCTTTTTTCCCCTGAAAGTAGAATATGAATGCCTAAGTACATACAGCAAATGTTTGAATGTGTTGTCTATTTTTTTCCCTTCTTTTTAGACCCAGGGCAATTTGTCCCCTGCTGTTCATCTAGAACAGTGGTTCTCAACCTGTGGGTCGGGACCCCATTTAGGGTCGAACGACCATTTCACGGGGGTCGTCAAACAACGCAGTCCGCCATTTTTTCCTCCTTTTCCTTAGCTGTGCTCCTCCCTTTTATCCTATTGGCTTTTGAAAGCCAATAGAATAGACTCTCTTGAATAGAGTCTAATTCTATTGGCTTTCAAAAGCCAATAGGAAATGTCCAGGCTGTCTCTGCCCTACTGAGCCCGCCAAAAGTCCCATTCTGCAAACGGTGCTGTACCAGTTGAGTAGTCCTCGACTTACGACCTGTTGGGGGGGTCGCATTAAAAAGGTTGAGAACCACTGCCCTAAGTGGATCTATACAAGGCAAGACAACAGCCTTCTCTTTTGAGTTTTGCATAGGCTCTATAAAAAATAACCTTCACTCTCCCCTCCCTTAACAACTGCTGGAAGATACAGCAGATCGAAAAGACAAGAGTACAAACTTTAAAACCCAACACACGTCAACTTGAAATATGTGGAACTGTTGACACCAGCCAAAGTTGCTCAACCGGGAGACCACCAGCCACCCTGCCGACCTTCTAGAAAGCAGCTGGAGCTGCTTCTCACGTTTTCAAGGCATGGAAGAGCTTTGGCTTCTACAGCTCTTACAGTCACAGCGGCGAGTGACTCGTTCATTCTCAGCCAAGGTTATTCTTAGTTCTGCCACCATCTCCTTTTTCGCAGATCAGAGATTCCAGCTGCTTCTCTGCAGAAAACACGAAGAAAACCTAAACCTACCGTTCTTCTAACTTGACATACCCTAGAAAGTTGGAAGTTGCAGCTATCACAAAAAAAAAAAGCCAGAGGAATTACAGGTACACAATTGTTCAGCCCCAAATTTCTGTTGTTAAGTGAGCTTTGCCCCCATTTTATGACCTTTTATGCCATAGTTGTTAAGTACATCGATGCAGCTGTTAGTCACATGGCTTCCCCTTTGAATTTTGCTTCTCAAAAGATCACAAAAGGCGATCAACGCTGCAACCGTCATAAAGTGGAGTCAGTGGCCAAGCATCTGAATTTCAGTGCCGTTGTAACTTTGAATGCCCATTAAATGAAGCGTTTTAAGTCAAGAACTACCTGTATATGCCAGCGACTTTTGACTATTTTTCACACAACTCTGGCAGCATCCCCATGATCACGTGATCAAAATCCAGACACTCGGCAACTGGTTCATATTTATGGCGGTGGCACCGTCCCAGGGTCCTGGGATCACCTTTCGCAACCTCCTGACAAGCAAAGTCGATGGGGAAGCCAGATTCACTTAATAACTATGTTACTAATTCAGTGATTCATTTTAGTGATTCATTTTACAACTGTGCAGTGATTCATTTTACAACCGTGGCCAAAAAAAAGTTGTAAAAAGGGGCAATACTCAAATCAACAAACATCTCGCTTAAGCAACAGAAATTTTGGACTCCACTATGATCCTAAGCCATGGACTACTTGTATAACTATATCCATTGGTTTTCAAAGAGTTGGGATACTGCTAAGCCGTAAGCGGTGGTTTAACTACAGTGGCTGGTTCATACACTCAACCATATTTTGATGTATCGTGGTGTACAAGCACATCCAGTCAACGTGTCTTTGAAATGTAGATGCATGCCGCTAACACTATAATAAAGTGTTTCTTCCTGGCCATTAAATAAATCCTCTCCATTCTCAACCTTCAGCCATTCTGACAGGAATACAAAGTGCCATTATTAGCAAGGGCCGCACTTTATTTAAAAAAATTAGAGATACATAAGAGCATTTACAAAGGATTTTGTTTAAAAAAACCAGGCTGTTAAGTCAAATCTGCGAAGAGGTTTGCCTTCCATGGCTAACTCCAACCAGCGCATTGTTGGGACTTCCCAGCATCCAGAGAGCAAAAACCTCTCCCCCCCCCTGATTAGCACATCAAATAACTCTTCCCTTAGCAGCAATCCAAGCACATCCCTGTTTGAGGTGGCTGGTATATTCAAAGAGTTCCTTTAAAAACAGACATTCCATTAAAAAGAAGGAAAAGAAAAACCAGTTTTCAGAACTAGTCGGTTTCTTCCATAAAAATACATAAAGGAATTTTCCCCCTCCATTCTAGCATTAATCTGAACTCACTGGCAGCATCATGCAAAAATGCAGAATCGTGAAAATAAAAATATAGGGCGAGGGAGTTGCGTTTTTTTAAAAAGCCGGTGATCAGGAGAACGAGCAGCTTCCGTAGCTTTAGCTATTTCAAGGTCCGTGGGAGTTTTTTACTACTCTGAGGTGGGGTGAGAACACCCGTGGGCAAAGGAGAACACATGTTCTTCTCAGCTAACATAGCTTGTTTGGTTTGAGCTTTGTTCTAGAAAAGAAGAATACCAAAAGGAAACCGTTACTCATTCATTCAAGTGCACCGATGGATTGTACAGCTCGGAGAGTTGCAAAGCAGCTCTGCTTTACCTATGCAAATGGAAAAAATAAGCCACAATTGATGGCCTTACTCTCTCTCTCTCTCTTTTATATATATATAAAACAGCCAGACTAGAAGAGGTTGAGATTCCTCCCATTACAATTAGCCCTCAATTTGCAACGTGACAGTCATAAAGAGGGCCATCATGTGACCAAATCTATTTTTATTATCTTTATTGTGGCAATCATTATCGAATGATGCAGTCATTAAGAGAACTCATTGTTCGCTATTGGGCATTTTTGCTAAAAACTGGAAGGAAGTGCACGCGGATAAAAAAAAACGCATAGGTGCATCACACACATGCCTTCAGGATTAAAATGCGATGAACATTTGTTCCGAACGGTCTTAAAAAGGGCCCAACTATTACAAACATTACCGTTTCTAGATTTGCACACTGCACTGTGCAGTGATTTATTTAGTTGTGATTTATTAAGCAAATTACAACTGGCTGGCTGAGTAACAATACACCCGCAAACTATGGTTTATAAAGCCAAAATGACTGCATTCATACCCCACAAAATTAGCAAAATTACACAAACAGCTTTACGGCTTAGTGTGCTGGAAATTGAACGTACACTAGGAATAGAATAAGGTTGCACAAACAGAAGTTGTATGTATTTATTCCTCAACTTATGACAACTGGGACCAAAATTTTTTGTCACCAGATGAGGCGGTTTGTTAAGTCGTGTCTGATTTTATGATCTTTTTTTTTTGCTATGGTCATTAAGAGAACCACTAGTCATTAAGTGAATCCATGCACTCATTTAAGCAAATCCGGTTTCCACCTTTTGACTCTGCTCGTCAGAAACCACCTGGGAGGGTTGCAGATGGCAATCACGTGACCCTGGGACGCTGCAACCATCGTAAATGCCAGGCTCCCAAATTTTGATCACGCGACCGTGGGGGACGCTGTGCTGGTTCTAAGGGTGAGCATCAATCGTTGAGTCATTATTTTTTAAGGGCCGTTATGACTTCAAAGGGTCGCCCAACAAAGGATTGTAAGTCAAGGATTGCCAGTAATTAACAAGGTTAACAACCATTTCCGGCTACCTGTTAACTTACCAGCAAGCCAAAGGTGTTTATGTGCGTTTGTATATTGTGCAAAGCTTCGGCGGGGACTCCTCGGAAGCTCTTCAGCATGGAACTCCCCACCTCCTTGATGGCCATCACAAAGGGGACCATCCATTTCACACACTTCTCTATGTCGCTCAGTTGGTATCCTGGGAAAACCAAGAAAGAAAAGTTCTTGCATCTTCTACGCTTTTACTGGAGTTCGATCCTGACCGGCTCAAGGTTGACTCAGCCTTCCATCCTTCCGAGGTGGGTCAAATGAGGACTCAGGTTGTTGGGGGTCAATATGTTGACTCTGTAAACCGCTTAGAGAGGGCTGTAAAGCACTGTGAAGTGGTATATATAAGTCTAAGTGCCATTGTCCTTCCTTCCTTCCTTCCTTCCTTCCTTCCTTCCTTCCTTCCTTCCTTCCTTCCTTCCTTTCCTTCTGGTTAGAAAGCAGTAGTCCAGGCTGATTCTGCCCACAGTCTAGAATTCGATCTCAAGGTTGACTCAGCCTTTCATCCTTCTGCGGTCAGTAAAATGAGGACTCAGATTGTTGGGGGTCAATATGCTGACTCTGTAAACTGCTTAGAGAGGGCTGTAAAACACTGTGAAGTGGTATATATAAGTCTAGGTGCTATTGTCTGTCCTTCCTTCCTTCCTTCCTTCCTTCCTTCCTTCCTTCCTTCCTTCCTTCCTTCCTTCCTTCCTTCCTTCCTTCCTTCCTTCCTTCCCACAGTCTAGAATTCGATCTCAAGCTTGACTCAGCCTTCCATCCTTCCGAGGTGGGTCAAATGAGGACTCAGATTGTTGGGGGTCAATATGCTGACTCTGTAAACTGCTTAGAGAGGGCTGTAAAACACTGTGAAGTGGTATATATAAGTCTAAGTGCTATTGTCCTTCCTTCCTTCCTTCCTTCCTTCCTTCCTTCCTTCCTTCCTTCCTTCCTTCCTTCCCACAGTCTAGAATTCGACCTCAAGGTTGACTCAGCCTTCCATCCTTCCGAGGTCGGTCAAATGAGGACCCAAGTTGTTGGGGGTCAATATGCTGACTCTGTAAATCACTTAGAGAGGGCTGTAAAGCACTGTGACGTGGTATATACAAGCCTAAGTGCTAGTGCTATTGCTACTTCCCAGTCCTAAATTGACATAATCTTACCCAAAGCCTTACCCGAAACCCGCTGCATCAACTCGCGAGAGGAGAAGTGATACAATGCCGAAGCCGCCAGGATACCGTACGTGTATTCCAAACAGCCCACGTCGAGGACACACAGATCCAAAAGCTGACAAAAGAAGAACGTAAACTATCAGAAAACCGTTTTCAGGCTGATAAAGAGAGGAAACATCTTGCAGTAGGTTCTATCATTACCTCGGCTACTTGCACGAATATCTCTTGAGAATATTGTGGCAGCAGCATCTCACAGATCTCGCTTAGATATGCGACCTGCATGTATATGTTTAGCCAAGACACGATTGTCAGGGGACTCAGATTCCAATTGAGCGCCTGGAAGAAGAACGAGAAAGATATACTGGGACAAGGTGGACATGTTCTATATCAGGGGTGTCAAACTCACGTGACGTATTGTGATTTTTCCCCCCATTGCTGGCAATGGGGTGGGCGCGGTTTTGGCATGACACATCTGGCCCACGGGCTGGTAGTTTGACACCTCTGCTCTATATCTTCACAAAGGAAAGCTGAAGTGGGGTTAATTGAGACTATCTAAAGCTGCAAAGGGTCCTATTTCAGACAGACTTTAAAGCAGTGGTTCTCAACCTTTTTAATGCCGCGACCCCCAACCGGTCATAAGTCGAGGACTACTCAACTGGTGCAGCACCGTTTGCAGAATGGGGCTTTTGGCGGGCTCAGCAGGGCAGAGACAGCCTGGACAATTCCTATTGGCTTTTGAAAGCCAATAGAATTAGACTCTATTCAAGAGAGTCTATTCTATTGGCTTTCAAAAGGAGGAGCACAGCTAAGGGGAAAAAATGGCAGACTGCGTTGTTTGGCGACCCCCATGAAATGGTCGTTCGACCCCAAATGGGGTCCCGACCCACAGGTTGAGAACCACTGCTTTAAAGCTCTTTCATGGAGATATAACATACTATCTGTTAGGCCCATTCACCCATCTGGACATCTCCCTATGCATCAGAATGTGCAGTTGGTTATTCCTGACTCCACATCTTGATGTGTCATGCCTCCATCGGAGTCTGAATCTGCAGAGGAAAATGAGCTGGAACAGGACCCTATGGAGGTCGAGGGAGAGGTGTCTGTGGCTTCAGAGGAATGTGGGGAAGAACAAGACGAGGCAGGCCAGGGCCCTTCAGGATTGGGACAGGAGGAACAGGAGAGGCAGAGTTCAGGCGATGAGCAAGGGCCACCCCCTCCTGATCCTAGAGCATGGAGAGTGGAGAGAAGGAGGGAACAACGCAGGCAGGCTCAACTACTCGGGAGGAGAGCGTCCTGCCCCTCTCCACAAGGCACACACCTGGAGACTGAGATTTAAGGAGAGGCTGTGGGGAGAGGCATTTGTCGGGAACAAATGCTGATTCCTTGGAGTTTTGTGTGTGCTGGTCCTGTTCTCTTGTTCTGTGACTTCTGCTTGGAAACCCAGAAACTCTTGACCATTGGACTGGCTGACCAACTTGATTTGTGTTCAAAGACCTCGGACTGTATTTTGCCTTCTCTTCTGAATCTGCTCAGGCAAGCTTGTATTTCCACAGACTCGTTAGATTTTGGATGTACGTTTCATCCCTTGTTATCTACATGGCCTTGAGTAAATTACTCTTCTAATCTAACTGTATGTGAAACTACTTGCAGCCAGAGGCTGCTGAAGGTGCATGTGTGTCTTACTTTGTTCTGGGGCTGGCCAGAAACGTGGGAGCATTTGGGGAAAATTTGGAGTTTGAATTGCCAGCTGACTGCATTGTCTCTCTGCTGTGCCCTGGGTCACCACATGATGGAACATCTACTGCAAGGGTGTCCAACCTTAGTAACTTTAAAACCTGTGGGCTTCAACTTCAGCATGCTGGAGGAGAAATTCTGGGAATTGAAGTCCCCAAGTCTTAAGAGTTGCTAAGTTGGACATCCCAGTCTACTGGAAAGCACGCAGGTTCATTTTTTGAGCTCAGATGCACTGAAGCACTGAAATCTAACTCTTGAAATCAAGGCAAAAGCTGACAATACTTTAAAGTGGAGTGTGCACTTATATAACGATGGAATCTGGAGAGGCAACCATTAACTCCTTGGAGTAAGAGTGAGTTTTCTCATTCTTTCTATGTTACAGGACAAAACTTCTACAAACAAATAATCATCTTTGCACAGGTGGACCGACGCTGACAGGGCAAGTCACTAGCATATAAAAATAAAGCCACACCCCACTCCCATCTACCCCTGATGATGTTACCTAGTTTGGTAATGAAATGTCTGGAAGAAAATCGTCAGCTCAGAGAGTACCAAGAATCCCATAGCCCTCCTCCTCCCCTCCACACCCCAAACCTCACTCCCCTCTATCACTGATGAAGTTACCTAGTTCGGTAATGAAACATCTGCAAGAAAGCAACCAAGCTCAGAGAGCAGCAAGGACCCCACAGTTCAACCTGAGCTACCAATATTCTACTGGTACGATTGTTTTTCTTCCGTTCCTTCCAAAGAACGCACAGTCATACCTTCATAATAATGAGTTCCATGCTAATAATTTCTTCTTGCGTGCAAGCACCATCGGTAACATAGGCAAACTGGTGAAGCTTCGGCGGGTAGATCTCCTGCGAGAGAGAAGAGAATCAACACACTGGCCTATTCCGTTCTCTGAAAAGATGGCAAGCTGGCAAAGCCAGATGGTTATCCCACATGGATTTACATTTTGGATAATGAAACGATTTGAACGTTAAGGGTTTTTTTTTTCTGAGCCTTCATCAATATTAAAGCCAACTGTAACTACAAATAACACAGAATAGCAGCTTTATATAACTTGGATCTCGTCAAATACAAAAACGTCTTAATGCAGCCAAGAGACAGCATTTTTTGCTAAACGAGCCATCAAACCAAAACAGCACTGCTCTTTTCTCGAAACTTCTTCGACTGACGTTCTACTTTTTCTTCTCCTTGAGGAATTCTGGGAGTTGGAAGTACCCACACTTTATAACGTTGCCAATTTGAAAAACGCTGCTCTATGGCAGGGCTCAAGCTCTGTGGAGCAAGACTTTACCTCAAGTTTAGCAGCTATAAATAAAGACGATATCCCAATCAGCTGGAGGAGGGTCTTTACAATGTTCTGTTGTGTTGCCATGAAACGATCGAAGAAATCCTGAGCTAAATAAAACGTCTCTCTTTGTAGTCTGTGGACCGCACAAACCTGCAACATATAAATGAACCATCCTCCTTTCCATTAACATCACTCTGCAATTGTTAGAAATCTACAGGAATGCCTGTTAAAACACCAAATCAGATCTACATTTGCCTTATCCATAACACAAATACATTCTTGTAAGCCATCAGCTACTTATTCTTTGTAGTAAAGCTGTTTACTGATATTTTTCAGAGTTAAATAAATATAGGTAGTCCTTGCTTAGCGGCCACAGTTGGGAAAGGCAACTCTGCCACCAAGCATCAGTTGTTAAAGAGAAAAAATATTGTCTGCAACTTGTGATTTTAATTCTGTGTTTCTCCATTAATTCTGCCTGTTGCAAGCCGGTTGGGAAGGATGCAAATAGTGACCACAGGATGCCACAACAGTCATCAGTGTAAGGATTGATCACAAAGTGGTAACTCTGAATGGCTGCTAAACAAGGCAGTCACTAACTGTAGGTCACCTGCATTGCAACATTTTTTTGTGTGTACACATAAATAACCATGTGGAGCATATCAGCGTGTGATGCTGAGGTGTTCCCCACCCCATAAGGCAGCCGGCAAGAGCCAAAAGTGGAGTGAAACATAGATTTGTTCTTGGAGAAATAATAAATGTTGGTGGGTTTTTGTTTTGTTTTTTTGCAATGGCAGTAAGACCATCAAAAATCTTACTCCAACTTTTTATTTCCTTTGGCACCTAACCATGAGATCAGGGTTCCTCAAAATGGCCAATATCAGATCCAATGGGACTATCCAAGGAGTTGAGGGTCAATAAATGATGGAAGGTCAGTTGGGGTCAATTAATCTTTGGGGGCTTCTGCAGAGCTCCAGACCAGCCCCAAGTCCTGAAGTGGCTACTGGCAAGACAGTATTATCCAGAGGTGGAAATGGTCGGTGACCAGCAAAATCAGCCTTGAGTTCTCTATGTTATTACTGATGATACAATCATTTATAACAGGGCTGTCCAACCTTGGATACTTTAAGACTTGTGGACTTCAACTTCCAGAATTCCCATGGCTAGTAGGGAATTCTTGGAACTGAAGTTCACCGGTCTTAAAATGGTCAAGGTTGGAAACGCTTGATTTATAATGTTATTAGTTTCGTAAAATAAATGTCTGTGAATCAATGAACAACCTCAAACTTCATAAAAGGGTTGATCAGTTGAAGTTTGAAGACCCCTCCACTAGATGCACCTTTCAAACTACGAGGAACAAAAACAAGGTAGCCAGCCCCATAGATAAAACTCTAACGAAAGAAGGACAGAGCTTAAAAATAGCCCAAGATAGACCATTAAATCAGTCTTGTATGAATCCTTGTTTCAAACATGAGCTTACCTCCATTAGCCAATCTAGGAGAATTACTCGCATTTTAGGTTCCAAAAGGGGATGCTTTTCCATATAAAGTTTATCTCTTGCATACTTCTGTTCCTTACTGAGCATATTTTGCCATACTTCATCTCTATTCGCCCAACTACCAAAAGAAAAAACATTAAAACAGAGCTGGATCAAACGTCCCACCATTTCTGAATCTCCCATTTAGCACCTCATAGAAATTTGAGACTCTGCAACCGATTGCTGAACGGAAGCAAAATCTGCCATGGGATTTTTGGAGGCAAACACAGCCATTTACAAGCCATCTAACAGGCTTAAGGTAACTAAAAGCTTACGATCCCCTAAACATCCTTCTGAAAATTGACTTCCTGCTCACTCTAATAAGGCCATCCCAATATCAAAAGTAAAAAATTCTGCTTCTCATCACCTGAATTAAGCCATTTAATAACTAGCAAGAAAAAAAACAACAGATACCAAAAGGGTGAAAAATTTACCCCAAAACAGGCAATGGTGTCTCCCTAGCCGAAACCAGCTTTTGATGTTTAGAATTTGCAAAGTTGGCATTCTCAAGTTCTTCATCTTTCTCTGGTGTAGGGATCAGCAAGTGTGAATAAGGACACGCAGCATAATTTGACTAGGGAAAGAAAATCAACAGCACAGAGTCAAAGTTCAAAGTTCCAAAGAAGTTTACTGAACTACGGATTCATTTTCCAACAATTACAAGTTCCAACAAATTGACAAGTTAAAAAAAGATTAGGTTTTCCTCCCACCCCCCCCCATACTCTACAACTGTTTCTCCAACATGTTTAATAACAGGGGCTTTATCCTTCTTATGTTCCCTTCTCAAAAACTCTGGTGACTTCAAGAGAACGGTTAACAGTAAACAGGCCTTTTGCTTTAGAATCTCATCTGTTTATTTTGCATCTGATAGCAAAACTCCATAGTGATGGAGATAATCAAGATACAGAGGAATTCAAGTGGGAAGAAACATGGAAATTCCAAACTGATATTTCTGTATATATATATTTTTGTGGTAAATAACCTTTCAAAGAGTAAGAATGCAATCTCTCTTTCTCTTTTCTAAAAGATGCACAAGCCAGACATAAAATATAACAATTTAACCATCTCAAGATTATAGTATTGCTGTGTACCAAAGAAATTGCAGTTGCTGACTGTAATCCAGCATCCAAGCTTATTTTTACGTTCTGAAAATACATGCTCTGGATGCATTGTGCAATACTAGCATGCCAAAGAGAAAAGGACTTACATTAACTCTTGCAAACAATTTAAGTGCAAACAAACAAACCAGATCCTTTGTGAACCCAGTGAAACACAACAGAAGCCCCTGATCATTTAAGCTGTAAAGATCTTCAAATGTTTTTGATTTTTTAAAAAAAGAACAGTTCACATGAGCTGCTTTGTTAATTTGATAGCCAGCTATCTGAAAATGGAATAGTTCCTTTAGGCTGGTGAAATTTCCTCATTATTCACTTTTTTCTTTTTAATTAAGAATCAGGTCAATTCACAGTCCTTCCCCTACCTCTCATTCTAGTCTTAAAGGAGAACGCAATTCACAAGGTTTCTGCTACAGCCACAATAAAAATGGATGCCACCCTGTCCCTATATAAGTTATTTTCAATAGATTTGAGTAGTTGCCAAAACTTTCTGTTTCAGACCCTCAATGAAACAGACCTAAAGCTGCAGACAGACCACTTCACCAGCCTTGGCTAAACTTAAGCCCCCAAACAAGCCACCCTACCATTAACAAACCTTGCATTTCAGTCTGGAATTCAGATGTGTTATTCTATTTACAGCCTTTTCGATTTTTGCAGGATCTGGCAGGACTGCCTACAGAGAGCTGCAAGCTATCTAAACTTTGCCTTCGCAAGCGTTACAAGGTAATCAGGATGACACATAGTGACTGCAAAGCACTTTCCAGTGTAGCAAAAGATGTCATATAATCTTTCAGAGTTGCAAGGTTACTGCGTTCCATGCAAATCCTGGCTTTGTACAAGTTGTGTTTTGGAAAACTGGCTGATGAGGTGCATTTGTTTAAACTTTTATCCTCGCTGAACACTGAAGGAAAACGGAAGGTCTCAAAATGATAAAAGCCATCTTTATAATTGCCACATATTATCTAACTATTTTGCAAGCACAGAAAACGTCTGCTCTGCTTGATACATGTTAGCATTATTACAAAGGCACATATTTGAAGGAAGCTGTCCGTAAAACATTGCAGCAAACACAGATCTGCTACAATCTCCGAAGAGCTAGGCTGCCCAAATAGCACTATTTTTAAAATACATGTTCCTTATACATATACTATACATACATACTTACACATTATTTTTTAAGGAGAGATGATCAATCTGTGTCTCAGTATTGAAATATACCACAATATGTAATACTAAGACACAAGTTGATTAAATCCACTGAAACAAGGATGCCTGATTTATGAGTAGCAAAATGGGTCAGACAGAGAAAAGGAACAGATGAAAATATCTAACCATCTCTTTTTAGGCAGAATTAAATCCATATTTAGTTGACGTAGAACAACAGCAAGTGCTCTTTTCATTTGAGAAAGAGCTCACGAGGTGAATATTTTAAGGGCTGATTGATAATTAGACCAGTTTATTCTGATCAAAGTCAATCCATAACCAAGAGCATTTTATTGTCTACAATAGTACATGCTGCTCCATTTGTGATAGATTCTAGGCACTTACAACCAGCAAAGGAAAAGGCAAATTAAAAACAATTAGGATAATCTAAACATGTCAACCCCAACCACCAGATATAAGATGGTGGATAAAGTAATGAACAAAAATATTATTTTGCAGATTGATGCATAGAAAAAGAATAAGACTTCATGCCTATGAAGCAACTTGCCATCTATAAAAACTTTGTCATAATATGTCTAACAGTGTTAAAGTGCTAAAGTTACCTGACTTTCATTTGATTTTCTGCTGGTTGTATTTATACTGGAAGTATCTTCATCTGGATCTTGTAAAAACTGAAAGAAAAGAGTAAATCAAGATTAAGATTTGCAATGTAAATGTAGATTTTATTCTACTTGAACTAAGTTCTTTCAGCTAACTTTGAAACACCACTTGTTATCATAGTTAAAAAGAAGTTACTTCAAGGATCACTACTCTGGCATCCATTGCCTCACCTTAGTTGACTTTCCAATTTTTCTAAGTACAAAAACAAACTCAATAGCCTGCAACAACAACATTAACTGTTAAGAAGTTAATGTTTCCAGACCAGAATCAAATCCTTCACAGAGCAGATCAACACTGGAGATAGGAAAATAGCCCATTTTTATGCCAAGCAAAATGGATGGCCAAGAGGACAAACTTCAGTTGTGGTGAAACAGTTTTGCTGTACATTATGTAAACGAGACACAAAAAGATTTCGTCTTCGATCCCTGATATCTCCAGAAATGGTTGGAGAAGACTCTTGTTTGAACTCTACTGATCAGTAAGATCTCTCCCCCCACCCCCAGCCAAGATCCAGGAGAACCTACAGACCTCCAAATACTAATCAGTTAAAACTCCGCAGTAGAATTTTTAAATATTTGGGCTGCAGTGAAATAATTGCCAGGTCAAATGTCTGATTAAAAACAGGATTTACTTTTATTGTTTTCGTAAGAATTAGAGGCTATTTTTAAGTCAGCAATAGTGTCCATCAGCCCTGCATTCCTCCAGTTGTGTCGGATTACACTGCCACCTTACTCAACTCAGAAGGCCATGTGCTTGTTTTACCACAGAGAACAATCCACTGCAACTGGCAACTTACTATTACGACATCAGCTTTTCTTTTCCGGGTTCGAACAACAAACTCAGGAACACCGTCACTCTCAGCTGGAAGTTTCCTGCCCCTGCAGTGACTATGAGAGACATTTAGATTACAGCAACACACTCTACATGGGGCTGCCCTTGAAGAGCATTCAGAAGCTGCAGCTGGTCCAGAATGTTGCAATAAGCAGTCTTGGGCATTTCTCATTATGCCCATGCAATACTACTGCTTTGCAAGCCATACTGGCTCCCAATAGGATTTCAGCTATAATTCAAGATGCTGGTCATCCCCTGTAAAGCCCTCCAGAGTCAGATGTGGGACCCCCACTCTAGTGTTTCTGCCTGTCCCGCCTGATCTAGTAGAGCCGGCCTGCTTGAAGTCCCTTCTATTAACCATTGTCGGATTTTCCACTAGGGCCAAATGAATGAGATGGATCTTAGCTTCATTTTATGTGGGTTTCAGCTTAACTTCCGAAACTACTTGTGGGACCATCTTTCTTCCATTGTTTTGGCCCACCCCACCAGGTGTAATAGAGATGGCACGCGGAGGGCCCCTTCTACTAAACAGTGTAATCTTGTTGGACCCTGGGGTCACACCTTCTGCCCTCAAAGGGATGCCTGGAGGTTCAGAGGGCCCAATCTTGTTAGCCTTTCTCAAGGTATCGATGATCTGACCATTCCCCCAGGCATTTGGGTTAGGTGTAAATGAGCTCCACTCTACTGATGGTATAGAGCAGTGGTTCTCAACCTTTTTAATGCCGCGACCCCCAACCGGTCGTAAGTTGAGGACTACTCAACCGGTCGTAAGTCGAGGACTACTCAACTGGTGCAGCACCGTTTGCAGAATGGGACTTTCGGCGGGCTCAGCAGGGCAGAGACAGCCTGGACAATTCCTATTGGCAACGCCTTTTCTCAGCATGATGATGGAGAATCCATCATTAGACTTAGTCTAATTGGAGCAGATAGATTAAGACAACCCATCGTGGGTTCTCCATCCAATCATGCTGAAGAACAGTGGTCCTCAACCTGTGGGTCGGGACCCCATTTGGGGTTGAACGGCCATTTCACGGGGGTCGCCAAACAAGGCTGTCCGCCATTTTTTTCTCCCTTTTCTTTGGCCACGCCCCTGGCACCCGGTGATGTATAAGTGGTTGGGGGTCACCACAACATGGGGAACTGTATTATGGGGTCGCGGCATTAGAAAGGTTGAGAACCACTGCAATAGAATAAAAGGGAGGAGCACAGCTAAGGAAAAGGAGGAAAAAAATGGCGGACTGCATTGTTTGGCGACCCCCGTGAAATGGTCGTTCGACCCCAAATGGGGTCCCAATGCACAGGTTGAGAACCACTGGTATAGAGAGTCAACTGTTCATTCTTAGGGGCCAAGGGGATTATGTCTGGGGGCTGGCTTGTCTGACTCTTGTAAGCCACCCAGAATCCTTTTTGTAAGAAGGATATATTTGGGCATATAAATATTTTTTGTGAGAAGGATATTTTGGGTATATAAATGATATAAACAAACAGACCAAACTTAATCCTCTCATGCTCAGCCTAGTTTGGTGTGGTGGTGAAGATGCTGGCCTAGAAACTAGGAGATGGTGAGTTCTAGTCTTAACTTAGGTATAAAAGCCAACCGGGTGCATTTGGTTCAATCTAGGAAATGGGAAGTACTAGTTCCACCTTAGCCATAAAAGCCAGCTGGGGCAATTGGACCCATCCCTCTCTGAGCCCAACCCACCTCACAGGGTTGTGGTGGGGAAAATAAGAGGAGGAGTATTATTGCCTTGAGTTACTTATTAAAGTAATAAAGGTGGATACAAATCAAATGAAGCAAGCGAGGAGGAGAGGAAGCCATCCCACTTGTCAATAAGCTGAATCTTCTTTACTGAATTGGAATCAGAAATTTCTTTCTAATTTACTAAGGGGAGCAAAAGGCCTAGTTTCAGAAACCGAAGCTTTAGAAGGGTGGAGCATAGATAAATAAGCAACTCACCTCTCACCAGGCATGGTGGTTTGGAGGAATCAAGATAAGGCCCAGCCAAGAAACTGAAAGAAAAAACAATGATTACAGATTGTTTTCTCCTTCTTCTTCTTCACCAGATCAGTTGTAAAAGTATTGCAAGCGATGAGGGCAACTTGATTTTTTTTTTAAAAAAAAAAAGGGGGGGGGAAGAGGAAGAGAAAGAACAATTATTTCTAGAAACAAAGATGCAAAGCCAGGATAGGGATTGATTGTTTTTTTTTAAAAAAAGAGACCACTGATGTGATTTTCAGCATGGCCAGAGGGGGAAAAAATATTATATAAATCAAAAAGCACTCTTGCCTCCCCTTCCCCTTTCTCCTAGTGATCCCAAGGATCATGCAAGCTCACCCACCCTCCAAAGCAGTCCAAATCCCATCTGAACAATTAGGCAACCCAGATAAGCCCCTTCCCCCGAATATGGCTCAGCCACCAATCCCCCAACATGTGCCCGTGACTGATGAGGACAGGAAGACCCCCCAGCCTTTAGCAGAACCATGTAATGGACATAATAAATAAATGCAATGGTTATAAGGGAAGGGGAGTCTAGGGGCAGGCCCTGCCATCCTCCCCTCTTTAAACATACCTACATATACTTCCAGAAGCCCCTTCCCCCAAATATGGCTCAGCCATAACTCCACCAACATATGCCGGATTGCTGGTGGGTAGGAAGAACCTGTCCCCCCCCCCAGCCTTTAGCAGAACCATATAATCAACATAAAAAAATAAAATAGAATATTTATAAGGGGAGAGGGGGGGGCTAGGCCAGGCTCTGCCACCCCCTTCCCCTCTTTAAAGATATCTCTGCAAATACCCCCCAGAAGCCCCCTTTCCCCCAAATATGGCTCAGCCACAAATCCCCAAACATGGGCCGGTGCCTGGATAGGCAGAACCCCCCCCTCAATAGGTCAAGCCCCAACTAATATATAAATGCAATAATTTAAGGGGAGGGTGGCTAGGACAGGCCCTGCAAATCCCCCCCTCTTTAAAGATACCTCTGCAAGCACTCCCAGAAGCCCCTTCCCCAATTCGCAGGGAGGGAGGGAGGGAGACCCCTTCTGACTGCAGGCGGAGGGATGCCGGCGTTGGCGGGCGGGCGCAGGAAGGCGGGCTCGTCTGGGCCTGCGTTGGGCGCCTCCTCGCAGCGCGGCGGGTCCCCAGCGCGGCTCGCAGGGCGGCTTTTGGCGCACAGGGCGGGCCCAGGCCCCGAGCGAGGGCATTTACGCCGCGCCCGCAGCTGGCGCGGGTCTCTCCAAGGGGAAGCAGCCCCGCGCGCCGCCGCCTCTTCCTCTCCGCGCCGGGGCTCCGGCAGGTGGAGGGCGGTGGGGTCCCCATCCAGGTGAGCGCGGGGATCCGGCCCGCACGGCTCCGGAGCTGGGGGGGGGGGCGGGCGGGCGGAGGGAGCCCCCCCCCGGGAGAGGCGGCGCTTCTGCAGGGGCGGCGCTCGGAGGAGCCAGTGCGCAAAGCCCGGGCTGAGCGCGAAGAGGTGGCGAGGGAGGATCCGCCCGCGCTGAGCGAGCGCGCGTGGGAGCGAGGAAGGGGGGGGGGGAAGCCCCGAAGGTGGGTGGGAGGAAAGTGGGTCCACAGTGGGGGGGGGGAAGTCCCGTGGAAGGGAAAGGGGTATTTTGTGTGTGTGTGTGTGTGTGTTTTGCAAAAGTGCGTCCCTGGGCGCAGACTTTGGAGAGCTCCTGGTTGCGCCCTTGGAAATCTGCAGAGTTAGAGATGGACAGACTAACTCTGGGATTGAAAGACAGAGAAGATACAGACTGCTATCAAATTTGGAATTTATTTTATTCTTGGTTCGAGAAAAGAATGAAGGGTTAGGAATTGAACGTGTATTAGCTTAGCGAACTCCAGACAACTTGTTGATTGCAAAAAAATAACATATGTTGATGAGAAATAACAATAATAATAACAACAACAACAACAACAACAATGAAATCTGCAGAGTTCGAGATGGACAGACTAACTATGAGGTTGAAAGACAGAGAAGATACAGACTGCTATCAAATTTGGAATTTATTTTATTCTTGGTTCGAGGAAAGAATGAAGGATTAGGAATTGAACGTGTATTAGCTTAGCGAACTCCAGACAACTTGTTGATTGGAAAAAATAACATAGGTTGATGAGAAATAATAATAATATTAATAATAATAATAATAATAATAATAATAGGAAATCTGCAGAGTTTTCAACTGGGGTTAGGAAACAGCAACCCCCCCCCCAGCCCATCTGTTGGCAGGAAAGGCCAACCATTGGTGACCTTAGTTGGTTTTAAAATTCAAATGTGTGCTAGACTGTAGTGCATTTCTGTCCGTGACTGCTCTTGGTTAAATTTATACGTTTTAACTCGCCTCAGTTTTTATTCTCTTTAACTTTGTACGGAGGTACATTGTCCTAAGAAGCTCTGTACTAGTTGGCTGAATCATAAAATCTGCTGATTATTTTTTTGGCAACAAATGACAATTGCTTCTTAGATCAATCGTAATTCATAACTGGGTGTCAGGCAAGTGGCCAATTCTTGATGGGGGGGGGAAATCTAGGAAACAAGAGTCCTAGAAAGTTGTAAACCTTGAAAACAAGTTCTGAGCTTGCGCGTAGCACATCTACCCACCCAAGCACATATTCGCACTTCTTCCCCTTGGCATTACTAGAGTATGTACTAATCTCTTGCAATAGTCCCTTTCAAGGCAGCTGGCTGGACAGGAGCTGATGTCCATGTGTTTCTCTTCTCTCCAGATGCAGAAGTTCCTGCAGCTTTTCGGGCGACTGAAATCCGTCGTCCTTGGCATGGTCCATGTTCGGGCATTGCCAGGTAAATGCCTTCTGGTTGTTGTTTGTCTTTAAAAGACATAGGAAAAATGGGGATATTACAAGGAGCGGTGGGAAGGTAGAAGATAGTTTTCCTACTATTCAGCAGACCAATTGATCCACCCGCCCTGGTGGATGTAAAATAAATATCCCATAAATTTATGTCTAACTAACATCTTTCCCAGCCAACCTGGAGTCCAAAGTGGGGACTCTCTGTTTGCATAGTATGGATAAAACGCTGGATCCTTGCATTATATTGGACTGTGCCTGTTGGTTTGCCTCAGTTTACCCACCAGGTTTTCTTCTTCCACTGCGTTTACAGAGCAAGTCTACCTTAAAACTTGAAACTCCCAAAGCGGTATCAACTTATATGATCTAGTTTTGAAGGAAAGGAAATTCATAACTATGATGGCCAGTGCTTTGCATTTATTTCTGAAGGCGATCTATATAATGTGAAATAGCGCTATCCGATTAACTCAGTTCAGTTATACCAGTGGTGGCGAACCTATGGCACGGGTGCCAGAGGCGGCACTCAGAGCCTTCTCTGTGGGCACGCGCACCGTCACCCCAGTCCTAGGCCTTCAGCTGGGTTTTATAAATCCTTTTCGCTTTAGGCCTCTGCTGCCGTGTGCAAAAAAAAAAAAAAGGTTGTGGGAAAAAAAAAAGATCTTGCAAAGTTGGAATTGATTGATTGAACTTTTTAGTCCCACCCAGTCTGCCGTTACCACCGCAGCCATGCCCAGCTAATGGGCCACCCCCAGCCAATGGGCCACACCCACCCGGCACCAGACGATTCTTAAGTGGGTTTTGGGTTGCAGTTTGAGCACTCAATCTCTAAAAGATTCTCCATCACTGAGTTATACACTGAATGCCTTGGTGCTAGAGACAAATTCCTTGTGTGTCTCCCCACACTTGGGCAAATAAATAAATAAACAAACTATAGTTTTTTAATGTCAGAGGAAGCAATCAGCATACAAGTGACTTAAAGAAGCGGTTAGGCAAACCGTTTGCTTCTTTTTTTTTTATTTAATAGACTTGTCTTTGAGCGTGCCAAAGTTTAGTGAGTGCATTTGTGCATATCTGGAGTGGTATCTTCATCTTTGCAGGAACACCATGTGCAACGTTGCCTTTGGCTCAGATCATTGAAGCAGCCTGCGGAGAGGCTGAAATGTATAGGGCTGCTGGTGTCGTAAGTCCTTTCTCTTTCTTTCTTTCTTTCTTTCTTTCTTTCTTTCTTTCTTTCTTTCTTTCTTTCTTTCCTGTTTTTGAATGTTCTCAGTTCTTCATCTTAGTTCTTCTATAGATGTGAGTGCAAAGCTGTCAAGATAACAATGCCTGACTGATCTTGGGTGGGTTTGGAAGCTACGCAGGGCCAGGCCTAGTTAGCATCATGATTCGATTGGAAGTTATCAAAGTATCTTGAGATTCAACGGCTGAAAGGGAGGTTTAAAAATCATTCTAGAAAAGGCATTGGCAAGCCATGTTTGCAATGTTGCTAAGAATATGCATGGACATCTTAACATGAAGTTGCTGGAAGTTGAATGTCTATGGAGATCCTCAGTCATGGTTGTCCCAAAAGTGCTTTTTCAAATGGCAACTGCACTTTTCTTTGTTTTTTCCTTGAAGTTTCTTTTGTCATCCAAGAAGCACCTTCAGTTCTCTGAAGATGAACAACTGAAGATGCTTCTTGCATGAGAAGCAAAACATCTTTAAAAAAAACAACCTCATAAAGTCCAGTTGCCTTTTGAAAAAGCACCTCTGGGGTCTTTCTTTTATAATAGTATTGTTGTTTATCCTGCATTTTAGTATAACATGGTTGTAATTTACAGACTTTGGGACGATAGTCCATAATTCCTAATATTTTCCCCAACTCTGTTCTGTTTAACATTTAGCTTTATAGGCTTTCTGGAGAACTCAAAAGCTTGCCCCAGTTTTATCGCATTTGAGTCAGTCACCATTTTTGGGGTTGTTTTTTTTTCCTAGCCTCTTTTTTGGGATGAGGGGTGCTGAAACTGAAATAGAAAAATAGCTAGGCAATTAAAAAAAATATATCACATGTGCATCATGGTTTTTTTTTTTTTTAAGAGTGTGCAGACATGACTGATGAAAGCATATCTTCAGGGTTTTTTTTTTTTAGGTGCCTCGTTTGATGCATTAGTGATTCTTTTTAAAGAGAACGTAATAAATATGGAAGATTTATAATGTTGGAGCATATAAATGAAAACAAGTGAATGCTCAGACATGATGCCATCTGTGCTGAAAAATTATAGCTGCTCTGTGCTTGTTTTGCCAAACACCATCAAAATTGCCGTGACAAGATTATATGCGGTGACAGATCCCAAGGAGTTTGGAGCTCTCTCGGTTGTGCCAGTTTCTGATATTGTTGTTCTGAAAGGATGGTGGAGAGGGGGCAGGGAAACACAGTGGCATTTTTATAGAATTATTAATATTTGTCTGTAAAATATCTGAAACTCATCACTCATGTTCCTGGAGAAGCTATAACTTCAAATGTTGGCGATGTATTGTCCCTAAGCATCTTGATTCAATCCTAATTCTTTCTTCGGAATTTACCCATCGTGGTGAAGAGAAGGGATCGCTGTTAATAAAAACGGCAGCTGTAATTCCAAGACCAACAGAGTTTAACCTCTTCATGGGAAAGATAATTAATTAACTGACATAATTAAAGTTGAAGTTTTCTACAGGTAGTCCTCGACGTACGGCCACAACTGAGCCCAAAATTTACGTTGCAAAGTGAGATACTCGTTCAGTGAGTTTTGTCCCATTTTACAGCTTTTTTTTTGCCACAATTGTTAAATGAATCATTGCAGTTGTTAAGTTAGTAACCCGGTGGGTAAGTGAATCTGGCTTCCCCCAGTGACTTTGCTTGTCAAACGGTCGCAAAAGGGGATCACCTGACTTTGGGACTCTGCAACCGTCATAAATATGAATCAATCGCCAAACATCTGAATTTTGATCACGTCACCATGGGGACGCTATAATGGTTGTAAGTCATAAGTCACTGGTTTCAGTGAAGCTGTAAGTTTGAACAGTCACTAAACAAACTGTTGCAAGTCAGGGACTATCTGTAGCTTTATAACTTGCTTGTAGCTACTACTTTGCAAATGAGGCAACTGACGTAATTACAAGTGTTTGTGGGTTGAACTTCACTACGTTTATACATGGATTGTGTAAAGTTACATTTTTGAAGATAAGGATTACTAATGACATTTGGATCAAATATGCTGGTTTTCTGTGTTTGGGACGCAGACACTAATATATCTCACTATCCAATATTACCTTAGTACCTTAAGTTT